CACATAGTAGTAACAGTAACAGCAGGGTAGGCACAAATGATGGAATTATTATTAACTTAGATAACCCCAAATTATTTCAGATATTTGAAACAACTTGGTTCATTTTTTGCATCTTAATTGTTGTTGTAGTCTTTTTGTATTGTTTTGTTTGTCTTTGTTCGTCTACTGACATTGATAGAACAAATAAATACTCTTCCTCAAGGTGGCAGCAGATGGCTGTGAAAACTAAAACGAGAGAGACCCTGAGCTGTGGACGACTATCTTCATGTGTGTCTTTCTTCAATTCCTGTGAGTATATCTTTGTTGTGTTCAACTAAACAGGCCCAGGTTTCACAATGGGTATGTAAATGGTGTGTGCATTTCATTTAGAATGTAATTTAACTTAATTACCTATGCTATTAGGACTTTTTTTGTATGATAGTGGGTTACAGTCCCTGTAGTTCCACATGTAACTGACATAACTTCCAGTTATGTCAGTTACAAACCAAACCAAATTTAAAATCAGGTTTAAAAACCAGGTAATTCAAATGACTTCAGTGCATGTTTCCATCATGAAGGGTTGTAGAGTGACTAATGCTGTTTGACCCCCAAGTGTCAGTCATGTTTGTAGGTGATAATAGGTATTAGCCTGGTCCTTTGCTTCTCTGGTCCCCTGAGCTTTATTGTTTCACCTTTGGGGAATAGATGGTTCAAAGGGGTCAGGGATGGGCGGGGCAAACGTGGAAAGACAAGAGATGTACATGGAGTGACAGTTGAATTCTGCTGGTACTTTTAGTGGCAAAGAAAGACGAGGAGGTTGAGCGTGAGGAGGAATCTGAACTGGAGAACTGCTAAGAAACCATAAAGACATAAAGAGTGTCTGAGAGCTTCTGCGAGGACGCTGAGGAAAACATTAAGAAGCCCCTGTGGTGATAAAGTTGTGAGCAGCCACTAGGTAAGATTGTCTTTTATTCTGATAATTATGATTTAATTCACTGAATAATTATCTAATTTGGACATACATTGTTTGCTTTCCTCAAATCTGGCTTTGAAAACAAGGAAACATTTAGCATTTTTCTCACTTTCTTTAGACAACATCTGTACATCCATCATTCATTGCTCAATCCATCACAGGCTTGTGTGACATCTGGGATTGGCCAACAAATTGCAAGAATTAATTAATATTTCTTGGTTTGTACAAGTTTAAAGTCTTAAAACAGTGGTAAGCATAAAAAGGAGTCGCGTGGGAAGGTAATGAATTATAAGATTACAGATTTCATTTAGCTCCTTTTAGACTTCACATGATTGGTTTACTAACCAACAACCTATCCTGGAAATGTCAGATTGAACCAGAAACTTTTTATATACAATCTGGGAGTTCAAATACAGTGCATGTACTACATGAGTACAGTACAAGTTCTCATTCTGGGAAAAAGCTCTACAACACATTAGAAATGGGTAGGCAAAACAGTGCCAGTATTACAGAGATAATGCTTGGAAATTGAACAATGAAATGAACAAATTCAGAAGGTCATGGTTTCTTGTTTTTGCTTATAACATTGAAGGAACATTGTCAAGCTGTAAGTGACTATAACTGTGTGTCTTTCTCTTTTGATACAGTATGTCCACCATTTACTGACCAGTACCAGAGTACCAGTTTGTATGCTTACAGTGATTGATGTGACCTGTGATCTTTTTTGCTGACAGGTACAGACATATCATGAGTGTGTTTCGGCTGGTTCTGTTGCTGGGGCTGCTTCTCTGCCTTGGGGCTCAATTTTCTAATGCACAGCACTGGTCTCATGGTTGGTACCCAGGAGGGAAAAGGGAGCTGGACTCCTTTGGTACATCAGAGGTCAGGATAGTACTTTTCCCTTTTCAAAATGATTGTGGTGTGAACATTAATAAAAACAAATTAAATGTTGTCAGTTCTAATTATCTTGAGGTCACTATGAGAACGTAGTTCGGTATCTCCATTTTAAACTGCAATTTATTTCACAACAGTGTTGTAATAGGAATGATCAATGTTGTTATGATGCTCAAATATCAAGCTAGCTGTCTCTTCTATATCAGATTTGGCCACCTTAAGACATTTGTGACCGAAAAATGTTCACTGGTGTTATTTTTAAACAACACTCAATACGTGTCCAAGGACATGTATTTGTTGTGTCTTCCTCTCGTGGATACATTACCTCAGTACATCAATTACCCAATCTTTACATACATATTGACTGTATTTGTTCTCTCCCGTCTCCTCTCTCAGATTTCAGAGGAGATTAAACTCTGTGAGGCCGGAGAATGCAGTTACCTGAGACCCCAGAGGAGGAGCATTCTGAAAGACATTATAGTAAGTAAACCAGCCATTCACTGTAACTGTTATTACAGTATGTCTAACGACTAGATGTCAGTGACATTTACTGTTGTCAAACTAGGAAAAGCTTCTCCTGCCAAACACGATCAGTGACATATCACTACACTTTTTTCCATCTTGTATTTCCTCTCTTATTCACATACATTTAAATAATTTAGAAAAAGAGTCAAGAATCATATTAATTACAAATCTGGGAATATTAGCTTTATTTTGCAAAGAGTTTTCATTTTCATATACAAACAACATCCCTCCTGCAACCACTGCACCATTTCAGCTGTATTTCAGCTGTTTTACCATGTCTATGAGCCAAACCCTCTTCTTGACCTAGTGTTGGAAAAACTGTCTAAAATACTACTGAATGTGAGTAATATCTCAATACTTTCTTCATAGCTCGATGCGTTGGCCCGGGAGCTACAGAAGAGGAAGTGACAACGTTCTGTTTTTCTATGGTGATCCTTCCCAGTGTACTTGTTTGATGGTGTGAATTTGGTTGTATCTGTATGTGAAATTGTATTAACTCGTTGTTTAAATTTCCCATAATAAACAATTTTGATATGAACTATTTTTCATCTGTTGGTATAAATTCAAAGCCTGTTCAAAGTACTTCTTTTACTACTGTTACAATTGAGACTCCCACTTTGTACTAACTGTTGTACTAAGAACTACATCAAATACCTAACCATGCTAATATTACTTTTAACATTTGTTACTCCATATATTTCTACTTAGTACAATACTACCATGGGAAGTATCACTGATAAGACGTCTATTGCCAACAAGACGACAACTACAAACCCTAATCATACTACTAAAACAGTTTCAACTACCAAAAACCAAAGTTAAATATATATAGTGAAAATAGGACATTTTTATTTCATTCTGTTTTCTTCTTGTTTTGAGGTTGAGGTATTCTGTACTAATTAAGTGCTATTTTTTTCTTTGCTGCTATGAAACGGGACGTTGCAGACTTATTACTTTTTAGTCACCTGCGCTCATCTCATCGCATACCTTCACCTGATAAATAAAGACGGAGGTGGAGCTCTGTAACAAACATGGCGGAAGCGAACGTTTCCCCGCAATTCGCGGGAGTCGAATCAAGTGGCGTTTAAAGTGTCCACAATTCTGTCTGTAACGCTGCTTCCATGACAGACGCTGACAAAGTAACACACAGTAAAAATGATAGTTTCCAGTTTCAAGGTGAGTTTTGACAAAAGTGGCGCTTTTGCTGTAAAGCAAACTTTGTTGTCTATAGTTAACTAGCATCAAAGCTAGTTACCTTCTTAGCTAGGAAAACAAACGCCAGCGGCTTAACGTGAGCGTACCACAGTATTCTTTATTGACAAGATTCTTTTAAACTTTACACCACCCCAGACGTTAACTATGTTATTTGCACATTTTAGGTGTGTTAGGTAGTGCAACCACATATTTAACCACATAGACTGCTACAATGCTAACAGGGTGTCACGAACAGCACACAAACGCCTCATGTAAAACATTTCAGCGTTACAAACTTGTAGTCAGTGCCAGCAGTTAAACTTTAGGTTAAAATTCAAATCTCAGATTGAATAGCAGTTTTATTCTGGCTATGTGAGTAATGAGGATAAAAGGATAAAAAAATAAGATTTTAAAGATTCCAGAATTACTTATCTAACTTTAGTATTTCCATTACCCCTTAGCTAAAGGGAAAAAAACTTTAAGAAGTGGATAAAGAAGTAGATTTAAAAGGTTATCAGTTTAACTCCCTGTGTGAGTTACTGTAGGTAAAGTGTTTTCAGTGGTGATACATTTGTCTTGCAGTATACCATGAATCTGATATACCATGAAGGATTGTTTTTGTGAGATGTATAATATGGTGTTCAGTTCCCCCATGGTGGCAAAATCACATAACGGCAAAGTCCATCCAAAGAATCCTAGCAAACGTGGTTTGCATCCCTGAGGAAAGTGCTTTTATACGATAAACTCTTGTACAAACCGTTTGGCTTGGTTTTTCAGGGTTTAGAAAACAAAGTGGGCGCTGATAATAAATCACTAGATTCTTGGTCAGCTGAACAGTCATTTTCCAAACACCTATATTAATAATTACAATTTCAGTGTTTGATTGTGCATTGCAGGCTGTATTTAATTTGTGTTTGGTTCATTATATGTTGTAATTTTGTAAAAAGAAAGATTAAAAGTGTTGTTTATAATCACAGGTTATGTAATTTACTCTTTTTCTTTTCAGACCACCTTCTGAAGTCTAAGTCTGAAGTCTATATGTGATGACCTGTTTAACACAGAGGAGATGTACCAGGCACATATTCGGGGAAGCAGGGTTAACATCAGACAAGGTAAGACATTGCAACTATGTCTTAGTAAACCTTTGCAAAGGTTTCAGGTCTTTTTGCTGTTAAGAGCATCTGTTATTATGTTAAGTTTCAAGTTTGAGGGGGGGCAGAGAGAATTGTATGTGTATTAGTGTCCATCTCACAGCAATACTAGAGCAGACTGTAATACCTTTAACAGGCTGTAGTTGGCACTGTTGATATAGATACATACACACACTCACCTTGCAAACAGCCAACAAGCAAAAAAAAAAGTTTTTCATCTGAAGGTTCTGGTGTTTTAAAATGTTATGCCATATTTGCAATATTTAGATATTCAAAAAATGAACTCATGTTAGTAATTGATTAACATTTTTTTTACCAAATACTCCTTCTTTGCCTCAATCCGTAAACCTATACATTTTTAAACAAATATCTGAACAGATGTGCCAGGCAAAGTAAAAATGAACGGGAAAAGGAAATTAATAAATAATGTATGCAAAAGTTTGGAAAAAAATAAATGAAATAATGATAGGTTTATGGAAAAACTATATTAATGATCCAAGAACAAATTTCAGTAAAATGAAGACAAAACATGTACTGTCAGAAGTACATGCAAAAACTTGACTAGTTCATAGTACATTGTTTTGAAGTAAGCAATCTACAGTAAGTCTGCTAAGTATTTTTGATTTTTTTTGTTAACCTATTTACAGTACGACTATCTTCTGTAAACGTTAGTGATTTTTTCCCCCAATGTCTTAATATGAACATTTGGGCAAATAGACTACAAAATACTATTGTGTTCTTTTGATAGTTTTATAGTCCTGTTTCAAACTAATAGACAAATATTGTTTGTTGCTCGACCATTTTCCATCTCATTTGGATAAATGAATTAAAATTTTCATATTTGACCCATTGCAATTTAGAAGTCTTAGGCTCCAAAACGGTTTTGGAGCCCCTTGAAAAACAAATGTGACTAAATGTAAACTTAAAACAAAAGTGTCTGCTGACATGATAAATGAAGTGAAGTGAGAGGGGAACATCAGCCTTCGAGTTGATGCGTCGACATGGAGACCAACAAAGGCTTCAGAGTTAACGAGCAGCTCTGAAGCCCCCAATGTCTCCTTTTTTCAAAGAATCCTGTGGTATTCTTCCATGTCAAAGCTACGACCCCCATGCGACTGTCAGCATGAAGCCCACATCCTTTCATTATACCTTTCCCACAATACTGTTCTCCGCCCTAACTGGTCCCACAAAGAGTAAAGTTATTTTGTCTCATAAGTTTTATTTCTCATTGTTTTTCCGTTTTATTCCTTCTTCATAAACAATACTTTAGTCTTGAGGAGCTAAACATTTTTTTGCTAGAACCCAGATGGTTCTGTAAGATTATTTGTTTTTTCCCATTTTTAAATACTAAAATTTTGCAAACCCCAAAAAGCATCTTGTTTAGTCCAACTTTTATGCTGTAATATTGAAAAGTTGCTTCACCAAATGTTATTGGGGTTGGAGCTTTTTAAGAGTTAGTTGTTTTTTTTTCTATTATATTTAAAGAAAAAGGTATTTTTTCATATTACATACGTTTGAGCATACATTTGCATAGGCAAGTCGTAATGAATTACATAACGACAGATTTTATATGCATCTCTTGTATAAATCTTTATTTAATATTACAGCAAATGATGAAGTTTAAGAGAAATGGTTTTAGTTACATATTAAAAGCAAAGATTTCTTTCTTTAGTAAAGACTATAATAAACAGCGCAAATAACATAAGTATATTCAAAATGTGTTCTTTAAAGATATCCATTGGTCTTCTCCATGGAAGTGTATGTTCTACAAGAGCTTAGAGAAAAGTGGGAGAGAGAGCGTTCTGTTGAAATTGATGATATGAAGTGGCAAGTTATATAGTCTGTAACCATGCTCCATCAATACAACTTTTTCGTAGAGTGCATATACAGTATTACGTAATCGCACCTACAGGTTTAACTCCGTTGGATCACTTATTTGCCTCAAATATAAAACAGAAATTAGTTTAGTCATGTATATCTTTTTAAAACTGCATTTTCTTAATTTTGAATGTTATGTACAACTAAGCATGTTTGAGGCTTTGTTGAGAGGCAGTGCTTTTATATACAGTATATATGTATATACACTTATTATAATTATGCTGATAGTTATTTAAGTCTCAGTTGTTGTTTTTTTAATTTTGCTTTTATAGTCCTCTTTGATCCACACTATTTTGGGATCCAGTCGTGGGCCAAATTGGGCCGCCAGCTGATGAATCACTCCTCTAAGACGCTAGCTTTAATGATGTATTTATTAGGACACGTGTCAAACTCCTGGCCCACGGTGTAATTGTATTTGGCCCGTGAGATCATATCAAATGTGTACTAGAGTTGGCCCGCCAGTATATAGCCACTGTACACTGGCAGGATTTTTTAGTTATATGTTTTAGCATTGCATTATAGTATTGTATACATTTTATACAAGTTTTGACACCTGACTATATCTTAGTAAAATGAATGGAGTTTTTTAGGAGACTCATCTTTGTAGAAAAATCATTATCTCCATAATTCCACTGTTAGACAGTACATCAATAGCGGCTTTATGTGTGTAATAATGCTACTAGTGCACCACTACTCCATAACAGAGAGGGTTTCTTTGGAAATACCTCCAACTTTTTTTTCTAGTGTTCAGAAAAACTGTGAAATAACTCTTTTGCGAAGTATAGCATTGTCTTTCGAAGTGTCTGTTTTGCAAAGATACATTTTTTTCATGTTCGACAAACAACAGAATATAGTTTTGAATTGCGTTTTTATTTTTACACATAAAATATGCTACACTACATTCAGTAGAAGTAGGTCTTTGCTAAGCTGTGTAGGTCACACACCTGGGCAGAGACCACAGACCTGCAGAGTGTATGACATTCTTGATGGCTTCATGTGTAGTAAAGTGTTTTGAGTGGTTTATCTATGATAGAGAGCATGTAATAAAAAACTCACACTTTACCATTCATTGCAGGTAAAAAACTGAACAGAGAATCACAATTTAGGATTTTTATAATCCTGCTCCTTTATCTTTACTTCAGTGCTGTTTTTTTTCCACAGCTGTACGTCAGCCTTTTGCCTGTGTGTGAGTGTCACTGTCACTGGAGGTTTTACCCTGATGACTCAAGGCCCTGTTGGCTCGGTTAAACCCACTGTCAACAACAACGTCATCATCATTTGTGACAGGCAGCAGCAACAGAAGGTATCACCACTTTCACACAGAGGCAACCGGCCAGAATGTCTCTCCTGGTTCTGACATGGACACTGGTGATGGTGTCTTCGTGGACAGCAGGTAGGACAACTGATGTTTTATTTATTTTTTTGACCGCAGTGTCGATGACGATAAGCTCCTCTAACAGATGTAATAAAGAGTAGGCCTAAACTTTTAGCCGACGACAGATAAGCACATCTTATATCAACTGGAATAATAATCTAACCCTAATGTGCAGAGGACAATAAGGTGACAGTGGATTAGATGAAATCAATTTCCTTTCATGATATCTGGCTAAATCTCTGGTTTCTCTGTGATAAGCTTCTTAAACTAAGTTGCCTATCGTTAGCCACGATTTATTTTTAAATATTACGTTAAGAAAAAAATAATAAGAAAAGTAAAAAAATAAAAAGTGAATAATAGTAAAATAAAAACTCACACTTCGTACGGAAAAGGTGTTCTATGTTAGCTCTTTTACTCTTTTTCGTATTTTATTGTATTTATTTGACTTTTTTATTCTCTGCCCAACATGAACCCGCCAACTTTAGTATTTAATTATGAAAGAATTGCTCATGTAAATGTGAAAGATTTGTTTGGTTTTATCTTTAAGACTATACATTAACTAAATGTACTCAGCTACTGGAAAAAATATCTATATTTTTTAGAAAAAAATTACCAAGATTAACAAGTATTGTAAAATCACATTTGTTAATGTTTCTTACTTTGTTAAATGCTAACACAGATTTTAAACTGCTTTGTTCCCATTCTGAGTGAAATAAAAATGGACCTAACCAAGATTAGTTTAGCAACTGAAATAGAAAATACTGTTAACGACAGAATCATGGAAATCCAAGTGAAAAACAGACGTTTAATTACAGTTGTTATTTATTAAATTTGAATTGAGAAGGGACTGTCTCATTAACATATAAACTTTATACGAAACACATTGCTGAGAAAAATACATACTCTTAGTTTTACATACAGTGCTTTGCAATAAATCTAGGCAGGAGTATACGTGTACTCTTATTTTTTTCCATTTTTTCAAATATAAAAATAACATTTAACTGCAGAAGAACCTGGATGGAACTGTCGACTGTTCTTGGCTGGTCAGCCATGATGATGGACCTGTTCAGGTCTGTGAGACAGCCACAGGAAGGCAGCCCCACCTGTGACAGCTATCAGGCCCAGGGATAAAAGTTTGAACTTATGGTGTTATAGTAATTCATAAATTCTCCAAAACAACCTAGGATGCATGGCAAATGTTTAATGATGAGAATAAACACCTGATTCTACTATTTGCTTTCAATTCTTAAATAAAATACTCCAAAAGAGTGGAGGTAAAGGCAATGTACTGTATATACCACCAAGAACATCTGGTGGAGGGGTCTCAAACTCCTGGTCAGCGGGCTACATCCAGCCTGTAATGTCCAGTCGCAGTAGATGTCATTGATATGCTTTTTTTAGTTTATTATAGTTTATTTTAATACTACTATAATTGAGAAAACAATTTACAAGAATAAAAGACTATTCCATTTTATAAACAACATTATTTAGGAAATGCTAAATAATAAAAGAAATTCAGTTTTAAGCAAACAAAAGCGTAAGTGCGGAACAGTACAGTAAGAATAAGAACAGGAAAGGTCACTTGCGAAACAAAGAGAGAGGAGTTTAGGAAAGATTGACATTGTAGTTGTTTTCGCTGAGTTTAGTGAAAATGAAACTCTTTTTAAAGAGTATATTTACTATACTATACTTCTACTTTTTCTACTTTTACTTACCTTGTTTCAGTGGCTGTAGAGTACAGCTAGTCAGCTGTGAGTTATGGTGGAACGGAACGGTGGCCGTTATCACCGACTGGTAGCCCTGTCGGAGAGGAAGTTTGAGGAGAAGAATGCAGGTCCAGCTGTTGTCCTGTAGGGTATTTTATTAGCATGTACTCTGTACATGTATGAGCAGAAAGTGTTGTTAGGATGTACTTACTGTACGTACGTAGCACTGACCACTCAATACTATTGGCATTAATGCCAATTTTAAAATAGTATTTAGAATTTTTGACTCTTTTTCCCCATCTTCGTATTTGGTCCCTCTGCTCCTCATATTAACACCTTAGTTCAGTTCATACTGTAGATTTTTTAAAAGTGTTTTTTTATTGTTAACGTTTTTGAGAATTACCCTAAATTGTATTTTTATATTAAGGCAAAACAATGTCATTTATGTCATACTCTAATCAAATACAACATTTAATGCATTTTTGAATTTTTTTGAATTTTTGACTCTTTTTCCCCATCTTCGTATTTGGTCCCTCTGCTCCTCATATTAACACCTTAGTTCAGTTCATACTGTAGATTTTTTAAAAGTGTTTTTTTATTGTTAACGTTTTTGAGAATTACCCTAAATTGTATTTTTATATTAAGGCAAAACAATGTCATTTATGTCATACTCTAATCAAATACAACATTTAATGCATTTAGTCAAACGAGAAAAGAGCAGACATTTGGTAAAACTTTGTAAAACTTTAATGAAGACTTAAGCAGAAACAAGTAAATGTCAAGCAATCACAAAGAAAAGTTAGGAAAAAAATTCAATACACCACTAAGCGCAGAACACAGACATGCGTCTAAATGCAGTATTTCACAAGACAAAGTATTGCGACATACGCAAAATGAATGTGAGATGAACCCATTGAAGATCATTCTAGTAGCAGATGAAATACTTCAATTTTCACAATGAAGAAATTCCATTGTGAAAAATTGTGAAAACATTGACTTCACCCTCGTGTTCCTATTTCACAAACGTGAACTTTGCTTTTGTTGAAAATGACTCTAAATATTTCAACCTTTTTGCCATTCTACAGTATTTACATTTTCCTTAAGTCTAATGCTTTTTCTGTCCTCTTTTCTGTTGTTGATTTAGAGAAGCTTTTGTCTTTCCAAGGCTGTCTTGGGTTTTAATCGTTCATTTTTCGGCTCCTATGTCCCCTAGTCCTTATTTTCTTTCGATGCCCTGCCAACCTCCACATATGGATGTAAGAGGTTTAACTCTGCTCCTCCTCCTGTCTGGAACAGCAGCCTGGATTCTAGAATCTGTCTTGAGATTATCATTATTATTTTTGATGTCCGAACGATATTTTCACAGACTAACCGGGAAGAAATGGTCAATGAGGAAGGTAAAATAGAATGATTCACAAAAGTAAAAACAAAAAACAAGCAGAAGTAATGAAAGGGCTGAGTCAGTGGGCGCCGTCACATCCATGGAGTTCAGTCCAACTTTAATTGTGTTTTATTTGTTTTTCAGTGTAGAAAATTCTGCTTCACAAATGAAGGATGGTAAAAGCTAGGTTTTCAGTGCCCTGTGGTGGTGTTGGAACGTTGCACCTTAGTTTGAGTCCAAAACACTGACAACGCTTTCATCATTATTCAGTATTTTCAGTATTTTTGATGAGCACATGACCAAATGACATCTTTCAGGCTGGTGACAAAGAGAAATATTATGTCACTTTTTGGTTACAAATGACCCACAGTCTAAAATTCTTATGTAAAAATATTTTCCTTCACCTTCTGCCTGTGAAATTACAGTCTAATTGAGAGGATTAACACTGCCATAGATGTTAGTTCTAACGTTTTAAAGTTAATAAATAATCAAAGGCATCTCTAAAACCTTTGTGTTTGTGTGTTTGTTTCTACAGATTCAAGGCAGGTCCTGCTGCAGGACCACATAAAAATACTTTATCCTCCAATCTCCGGTCAGGCGATGATTGAGTGCGACTGTGTCAATGCCTCCTGTGATTCTGTGTACTGGTTTCGAAGCAATCCCACCCATGGCCACTTCCAATATTTGGGCAAATACAACAATGCTGACCGTCCCATGTATCATTCTGGAGTGAATAATTCACACTTCAAATTCAGCAAAAAAGCCAGTGCCTGCTTCGTGCTGCGTGTCCTCGATGTGCAAAAGGAGGACGGAGGGATTTACTCCTGTGTTCTCAAAGACAAGAGCAACACTGAAATATGGAGGACTGGAAGTTTCCTTCAACCAGGAGGTTTGTGTTTCCTGATTATAACATGATGGCATTTTGATCACTACTTTCCAGTAGTGATGGGCGATGCCAGAATTTTTGATTTGATATGATACAGATTACTTTTTTAGCAATTTTTTTCCAATACAGCTAATCAATAATACTAACTACTACTAATCTGATACAACCTATGACAAATACTGGCCATTTGACAACATCAATATGATTTTTTTCATAACATGTTAGGGGGCAGCACAAAACCCTGTATGTAGTAAGTTATCCTAAAGGATGTGGTATGTGGTTTTAGCATCGATACTTTATGAGGTCAATCAATACTCATGAGAGTATCTATATATTGATACCTCGGAATTGATACTCGAATCATTACTTGTGCTCCATAATGACAGCTTTGTTAAATAGCTAAAAACAACTATGACTATAATAAATAACTATAAGAAGAATGAAGGTTGGCCCAGAAAATCTAATCAAATTACTTAATCAAAGAATTACTATTTTGCTAGAAATATAAGTGACTTGAATAAGAAAATAGAACCACAATCCTGTTAGGAACTGACATGACCATATCTGGCACTAATGCCTGTCCTCAGGTGTTTAATTCAATTGTATCATAGTACAACAAAACAAAACGTCAAAGTCTTAGTAAATTACAATGAAGACTGAACCAATAATAACAGTCACGACAGCGAGCCAACTCTTTCTGAGAACTTACAGCTTGTCAGTAGCATATACACAGTTTTACGAACCCTGTTTGATTTTGTTGTCTGTTTCTTCTGACAGTTATTCCTCCGACGTCTCCTACCAAACTAATGACACCAAAATCCAAGCATGCCTGTCGCTGTCCTAAAAAAAGGACTTTAGATGGTAAGTTATTTAAAATGATTTTTCTTATGGGGGACTGCCAATGCTAACTAAAAAAATATAAGGAGACAAATGAAATATTAAATCATATAATCTTTCCCCTTTAGTTTATTATGTCCTAAGAATGATTTACTGCTTTATATCAACCATAAAAGGTCGTTATATTTGTCAAAAGGTTTAATGAGAACAACTGCAATTTTAAATCATCAGATATCGGGGTTAGTGAAACTGCCTTTGGAGTTTTATCATGAGTTCAACAACAGATTTTCAGTGAGGTAAAACATACACATTTAAACCAGCTGTGCAGTGATGTGTCTCAATGATAAATAAATCACTTCCCCTAATAATTAAATTAAAAATAGTTAGCCAGGAGGTAACAGTAATAGGCAATTAGAAATTAGCTTAGCAGCAGCTAAGTATCAAGAAAGACATGGAGGAAAAGTAGCTTTAAATTTGCCAGATAATTACAAAAATAGAAATATACATGAAAAACTTCGTCCTTCGGTTTTTCTTGACATTCTTGAAGGTATACAGTACGTAAGTAAAATATATGTTGCGACGCCCATTCCAGGCTCACACAAATTTAAGTTTAAATTTAAATTTAACCCAATTTTGGGACATTTAAATATATGCTAAGTGTGTTGTGCAGTAAGTATTTTTTATTTAAATCCAGCTTCATTTTCTGTGCACACAGCGTTTTCTCCAGCTGAGTGTAAACCTCGAGTTCTGTGGCCGTTGACTGGATTGGCTGCAGCACTGGCTGTATCTCTTCTCTGCACGCTGTACTACTTTAGCCGTAAGTGATTGATGACATCACATCTTTAAAAAAAAGTTGTGTACCTCACAGTCATTTATATCAATGTCTTAACCATGTCCATATTCACAGGGCTTCCAAAGAAGTGCCGTCACCAGTTTTCTAAGTGAGTACGAAGTAACAAGAGTATTGTTCAAACTCATTGCAGCTGAATTTGAAAAGATTTTTCAGCTTGTTCCTTGTAAGGTTAAATTGTCTATTTTCTAATCCTGACTTTTCTTAGTGGTGGTGGTGGTGGTGGGGGGTTTATACATATTTACTTTTTATACATTTGCAGTTATATTTTCATTTAATTATGTGCAATTTATTTCCCAAAAATATGAACGTACAAAATCACATAAGATCACATCAAGAATCTGAGATTATTTTTTTTACACAGTTGTTCTCTTCCACACATTTGATTAAATTCCAAACTTTGTGCAACATATCATTAGTTTGCAGACACATTTAAGCATACAAAAATGAAAAAAAAGACAGTATAGCCTAACCCCTTCTTTTTCTAATTTTTCTTTCTTTTTTTACACTTCTCAGAGCAAGGACAAAGCACTGATGCCCTGATGTCCTGCTTATGCTGTTCATACAAGACTCCAGGTACATTCTAAAAACATCAGAAAGACAAGAAGGATTACTGAAAAATATTTAACTGGTCTACAGAGAACAAAGCTTAGGGCCCAACTATCGTATCCACTGCCCTACATAGAGCATCAAGAATGGGAGCCACAACCTGTTTACCTAAAGTAGCCCATATTGGATGCTAGTCTGGACATTAGATGGTTGTCGGGCCCATAAAACCAGAACCATAAAAAGTTATATTTCGTTGAAATTGGTGACCTCTTCACACATCTGACACACACCTGACATCAGATGTGTCACCCATCCCTTTGCCATTACTCAACTAGCATCACCTAAAGAAATACATATGGACATGTTAAATATTACGTGTAGCAATAAACCGTAGTAATCCGTGAATAAAGTTTTTTAAAGTCACAATTTCATGCTGTGACTGATTAACACATTTCATTCATTAAATCATTAACAGCATGTCTGTATTTACAACTCACAGCTCGTGACAGAATGTCGGCGTGGATGTAAATATTTCTACTGTGCCGATGACAACATCCCATCTAGCCCACATAGACTCTTGGCCCATTTCAGCAGTGACTTGTTGAAATTCAATAAGCATGTATGGTTATAACTGAGATTGTGTGTTAGGTAGAAACAGTGAAACCACAGTTTATAAACTGTTCATAAAAAACTAGATTGTGGTTTCAGCTGATTCCAGGCCTGTTAATTGAACTAAATCATCCTGTGATCTGTTTTAATGTCCCTTTCCTTTTGACAGCTTTATAATCGCTTCTGTTGTAAGATTTATTTGTATTTTGAGAAATGATGGTTGTTTTACAGATTAATGAACAATTACAAGAGCATCAATGGCAGCTAAGATGCATGTATATAATATGTATGTATAAAACAGGGCTGTCAAATGAGTGCATTAACAACAATATTGAAATAGTGAAATGGATCAAGTTGAATTTTAAACCCATTTTAAGGCATGGTCAATATGGCACACACACACTATATAACGACACACACTTTGATTAATCGAATTATCAAATTTGTTTGACAGCCCTAGTATACATACATACACCCACGTATATATAAATAAATCCGGTACTGTTGTTTTATTTCAGCAATTCAATTTCTGTATGGAATTTCAATGTCCTACGTCAAAAATAAAACCTTAAAGCAAAAAAGGCTTTTATTCATGTAGAAAGAAACCCACACTGTGGTTAAGACACACAGCACTGTTGTGTTCAAAAAATATTTTCCAAATTTGGAAACAACCTTTTTGTACTTTGTTTCACAACACTATATTGCGTATGTCTTGTACATAGATGATAGGTAGGTGAGTGTCAGGGTTCCTATTTTTTGCCTTTACTTTGAAATTGTAAACTTGCATCACCATAAAGGGAACACGTGTACTGGTGATTAGAGCTCAATTCAAGGCCTCAGTAAAGTCAAGTCAGGAGTTAAACGGAAAGACACATCTGACTCAAAAGATGACAGAATTGATTTCCTGGTGGTTTCACTGAAGTCTAAGTCAGACAGTATGAGCTGGAGTCACACGTTCTGGACTTGAGTCCAACAACACTAGAAACAGCTTAAAGAACAGTCAACCCACTTTAGGTGAAAACAAGTCTTTACTCCGTGTACTGCGCTACACCTGTGCAACTGAGAGGGTAAAGACAGTCTGTGGTTTTATTCACATCTTGAGATATATGTTTGAGATGTGTTTGCATGTACTGTCTGAGTACGAGCTCTTCCTGTGTGCTATCTTTTCACACATCTCTAAACTCTTCATCTCACCTGACACAAAAAGACCACAACAACACCACAGAGCCACAGAGAGAGGAGACGAGAGCGTTTCAGTTTTGAATTCAAACAAGAGAATTAAGAAGTCATTTCTATTTAGGACTTGTAAGACAATGTTAAACTTTAGAGCAATTTAATAGTTAATAGTTATTAAGTTAACACTAGTAGATGATATAATTCTTCACAAATTTAACCATCATGTATTTTATTAAATGTCGTGCTATAAATTAATACACTGCACAAGGTTACTGTCTCACAGTGTATAGATGAGGCATTTACTGTACTCTGGGTAACTGAGTAACCTTTTGATAAGGACTATTTAACTGACATTGTGTGTGTAAAAACCTTCATCCAAAAACAGTGTTTCCAGTTGAAATGTGCTAACGGTGTAGAAAGTCTGTGTTAACTACGCTGAAAGTTTAATATTATTTATCTTTATATTATTTGTATTTATTTTCCATTGAGTTATATTGATGTTGTTCTGTGTCATTTTGAAGACATGTCTTAGTACAAAAACATTTCTTTGACTATGGCTAGAAATATTCTTCTGTTAATGAGAAAAAAACTGTCAACAAGCATTTTTCTGCTTGGCCTCCTCACTCTGGTTTGTTGAGGTCTCTCTCTCTCTCACACACACACACACACACACCCACAAGGCTGAGCCTGTAGTTCAACACTGCCTTCCAGTTCATTGCATAATTTGTAATTCTAACCAGAAAAGTCAATGACGGTACACGGTGAGTACACAAATGAAATGACATGTAGTCGTATAAGTTCATTCATATTTTGTTCCTGTTTTTGTGTTCACAGTCAAAGTCTCTTTATTTTAGACTTTATTTTGTTGTGGTCAAATTGACTGTTAAATAATGTTTACCTTGTAAACGCTGGTTGTCTGTTGTTTGTCTGTATTTGCAGTACAGACTAAGGGTTTACTTGGTATCTGATAATCATGTTTTCAATTACTTCACAGCACTGCTTACTTTGTGTGCATGCTTTTCTTGTTAACAAAGTGTTATTTTAAAAATCAAAATCAAATCTTTTTATTGTTGTTATTGTTATTTGTATTACAGTGTCTGTATACACACTCTTACTATGTTTTATTTTTTGACAAAAAACATCTTAAAATTTCTTTAAAGACAATTGTATAAATCAAGAAAAATCATCTTGTATTTACAGTACAAAGTCTGTGCTTATAATCTGAACATTCTTGTTGTATCGTTCTGGTTTTCAACAACATTCTATAATATTCTGTAATATAATCTGTAATGGCCAGCAGTAGTAATTAAAAATGTTCCTGCTACAAACACAGTCACAGCAGTTGAATGTAAAGTTATAAAACACAACAGTGCAGCATACATAAATACATGAACAACTCAGGAGTTTCAGGTTGATTGGAAGCCCATGCAGGTGAGTAAGACAGGGGTAAAACCCCACTGAGTGTCCTCTCTTCACAGAAACACATCAACAGAATCCCCTGCTGCCTACACACTGATGATGATAAATCAAAGATTTAAATCGAAGATTTTTTCACGATGGTAAGGCTAT